AATTAAACGTATATATATATAACAAAACGTATTTTTAAACATATTTATAATAAAACGTATTTATAATAAAACATATTTATAATAAAACATATTAAAAATAACATATTTCAAAGTTATTAATAATATATTATAAATTTATAAATTACCAAAAATTTGAAAAAAAAAAAAAAAATTTGCAAAGGACCGGCCGTAACCGGTTATGGGACCGGATGGCTTAACCGGTTACCGGTAAGCTTGACCAGTTATGAGAGATTTCACCGGAACCGGGACCGGTTATGATGGGACCGGTTAACGCCGGTTTTTGTCTTGATTGGGACCGGCCGTAACCGGTTAAGGCCCGGCCGGGACCGGTTTTTGGCCACCTCTATAGGAGACACGTCTTCTTAAATTTTAAGTAATTTGGCCGATTACGGGTTTATCCACATAACTAATCATCCGGGCCTCCATTAAAGCCCAACTAAAGCTACCGTAAGCCCAAAGTTATGAACCTGCAATGTAAGTATACATGGTCAAATCGGCCTGACCTAACCTAGGACTGTCGGAGAACCAGAACCAGGACCGACAAAAGACTGGTTATGGGACCACTGATCGGGACCGATTGCATTTTTGGGAGGATTCGAGGGACCGGCCCGGTCTGGATCAGGACCGGTTATAGGACTAAGTACGCTGCCAACTATTGATACCGACGACACTTGCTCACAATATGACGATGATGAGAAACTCGACATCGATAACCAATAGGCTATTATAGAACTTTTCAAATGAAATTGCGATGGTGAATAAGTGTATTTTTTAATAATTGAATATATTTAAATGTAATTTAAATGATTAACTAAATAGAAATTATATTAAAACGTATTTTAAAGTGTATTTGAGTGACCCAATTACATATTTTAAAGTGTATTGTTAAAAATTTATCACAAAAATTCCAAAAGAAAATAAATTTTTTTTTTTAAAGAATTGATTTGAGCCCAGATTGGGACCGGTTACAAGAAACCTTAACCGAGCTTTGCGATATACGGGACTAGTACTGATCCGGCTTACTACTCTCTCAGCCCGTGACCAATTTGAGGCCGGTCCGAGACAGGTTTTTCGCAGACATGTGCAAGTATTTAACTCTTCAAGGACAGAAGCTAACGTGAACCACCATGGGCCTACATGAAGCCAGTGCACTACAAACTATTTTAGCCCGTGCACCAAAGTTTGCAAATAATCCATTTTAGCCCTTTAGTTTTTTATTTTTATACATTGACCACTTTAGTTTTATGTGTACTCATTTTCAAACTATCTAAGGAGCCGTTTACTAAACACTTACTTGATAAGTGCTTACCGAATAAATTTTCTTATCGGATGAACATGACAAGAGTCAAGAATCTTACCGGGTAAGAGTGATGAGAATGATGGAGAGTCTTATCTGGTAAGTGAAGATTACGACTATTACCCAGGTAAGCGCGTACCCGGTAAATTGTTGCATTTAATACGTTTCGATGTACTAAAATCTTACTCATTAAAATAAATTATAGTGTTGACTCCTATAAGTAATCACTTATCGGGTAAGCATTTGGGTAAACAATCCCTAAGTAATACTGCTTTCCCATCTAAACATGGGTTGGCTGAATCAATAATCTTTCATACATTGATTGAATGCTTTGGTAGTCGTTTTTATCAAAGATGTACTTGATAAAGGTTTAATTATCTATAAATTATAATCCCAGTATTTCATTTTATTTGTGGACCTGTTATTGATGTTATGCACATATTTACTGTTTTTTATTACAAATATCATCAAATAACAACATTTTTTTGACAAAATTTATAGTTTGGTCAGTAAAGTGTTATTTTTTTCTTCAGTATTTTTAGCCTTTAAACTTTAAAAATTAATCTCAACATCTTGAAAGCAACTTGACCGTTAACTAACCATGTTATCTTTTTCTTTTTCAAAACTGTTATTTTCAAGATATTTTTGTAAACGTCAAAAAACTTAAAACGACGTCCCCAAACCAGCACCAACAATCTTCCACTAAAAGCTTCCCACTTTGTTAGTGCACACTGATGTCCTCATAGCAGACTACGAATATTCATGCTATGCATTTTAGTTGAACCATTTAAACCAATAATCTTAAAACTGTTAAAATTATCTTATTTTGATCTTTAAACTAAAACCCACTTCATGTTCTTCCAAAGAAATGTAAAATAGAAAGCAACAAACAAAACATGGTCAAAAAAATGACTTCAAATGTTGCAAATTTGAAGAAATATTTGAAATTAACAAAAAGAGGGTAAAATTGAAGAAAAAAAATATTGGTGTAAAATTAAGCAAACGCGTAAAATGAATTATCTGGATTTATTAATATCGGAATTAATTAAAATAGTCATTTTAACTTGTTGGTTTCACCTCTTAGCTATTTTTTTTAAGAATTACACAAATGTCACCTCTTTCGCAATTTCAATTACAGACCTAATTAAATGACAAAAAGAATTCATTTTTAACACTTGTAAAAAAAATTGTGGACGTGAGGAAAATTGTAAAAGATATGTGAACGTGGGTGAAAACGTAATTTTTTGTGGACATAGATAAAAAATGTAGAAAAATTTACGGATGGGGTGGAAATGTAAATTTTTTATCGTTTAGTTAAGCCCACAATTAAGAAAAGTGATATTTATATAAATCTTAAATTATCTAAGATGAAAAAAATAATAAATTATAAACCATAAAAATAAAAATCACAATTTTAAAATCATAACAAAAAATGTGGTATCTAATTGGTTTGAGTTTGACTTCAAAGGTAAAAAATGTTAGGAGGTATCAATTTCAAATCCAAGAAGGAATAAAAATTTCTTTGTAACTACAGAAGTTCAAATACGATGATTCTGACCTACCTGAAATTAGTCGACTCGTATTGTGAATTAGATATCTAGATTAATAAAAAAAACATAATTTACTGAGAACAAGGTGTCATGAGTCATCATGGAAGGTTTGTTGCCATCGTCATGCCTATCCAGTCTCCCACTGATAGCTGGATCCCTCTCAACCCTCACGTGTCGTATCTCTAACCCTACCCCAACTCCAACCACCACACCGCCATTCTCCCCCACCACTCTCTCACGGCGGTCGCTCTCCCTTCTTACTCGCAATTTTTGGTTATTGGATATAGGAACTTGTTGAATTAACCAAACCGACGATTTCACCGGTGGGATCTCCTTCTTTCTCTCTTCCATAGTTTTGAAATTTCTCAACGAAATTGCACAATTTACTGGATTCCATTCGCACTAGTAGGACAGTCGTCTTTCAATTCGCATCTCCGTTTAAGGCGGCGGCAGAACAGGTCAGACTCTTTCTTGCTCTCTATTCGTGTATATTCGCATGTAAGAACAAACAGATATTATTATGCAGGACCTGGATCTGATTGTTATTGTTTTTTCATTTAATTTGTCGACCTAATTTCTTGAAAATTGGTTTTCCTGAAACCTGAATTGTTGCTATAGTAGGTGTTTTTGTGTGGAATGAAGTTAAGAATCCAGAATTTCTTTATTGTTTTGATGATTGCGGTTTGTATATTTCATAGAAAAATTGAAGCAAATTTCATTTAAAAAACGTGGTTAACCGGTCCCTTTATTACTGAAAATTGATGATTATAAGAAGAAAGTTATCGATTAACTAAAGATTTTATTGATATGCCAGAAGAAAACACAATAAAGGAGGTAATTGTTGCTTGAGAATCCAAAGGTTGACCAAAAGCCAAAATCTCATTAAATTTGGGACGGAGGGAGTAACATGTAGCTCTCTCTATATGTGATTATCTTGGAAAAGATTTAAGAGATATAGAGCCAAAGAAAAGTGTGCAGAAAATCCTGAAGGGATTTTTTTAAATATGGAATATTTATTTAATTTATAGGAGAGTGTAATATAGGATGCTTAGTTTAGTTCAATAGAAGTGTAATATAGTTCACTGACTTGAACAAAATAAAGTTAGGAAAAACGATAAAGACAAGTTATTCTCTTTTATCCAAGGTAGACGAACACCGAAATGGTAAATTAAGGCTGTTAATGGTGATTTTAATCAATACTTTCTTGCTTTGGGTAGTTAATAACCATCACTGTACGACCATCTCAAGAAAGGAGAATCACTTCTTGTTCAGTATATGATGGTTTACTGAGAAAGGTTATTTGATGGCAATGCAAGCCAAAAAATGTGGTATTGGGGAAGAGAATAATTGAGACATCAGCAAGAGAATAGGACAAAACATCGAGAATCATGTAGCATTGGGAAGGTTTGAGAAGGGTGCCTTACCTTTATAACTAGACCTTGTTATTACCTCAAAATTAATGGCTCTGATCTCCATAGCAATGTTTCATGATGTTCGGCGGGTCTGCAAAGTTATTATAGTTTTTTTATTATATAAACCATGGACCAGTCTATGATTGGGGGTAAAAAGGTTTATGAAATATGCAGGAGAGAGAACTGATGTGGCAAAGTCATGAACCTGTAAAGAGGTTCATGACTGCAGAATACAGATGCTCTGAACAACATCACCTGCAGCAAAATTAGTCTGGTTTAATGATTCTAATCTATATTGTAAAGATATTCTCCAGAGATTTTGACCATGAGCATACTCACTTCATATATGGCTTTGTTAAATTTGTGGGCTGTTTTCTTGGTCAGGTATTGCTGGTCCTTCCTAGTGGATGAGAAACAGCAGTTTTAAATAACATTTTTTAATGCATCTACTTTGTTTGGATGTAGATCTATCAGCAATTTATAATTACCATGGAAGAAATAATCGTTTCGCAATATCTGCCAGTATTTGTAACATCTAAATGAGTTTGATCTTGATTTAAATAGATTACAACTTAAACATCTTTCCCTTTACCATTTTCCATGTTCTACCCGATTTATGGACATTAATATTTGATGACATCTTCTTTGATCTTTATAAATAAAAGAAAAAAAAGGTTAATGTGGTTGTTTAATCTATATTGTAGTCTTTCTCCCCTTATTACAAATCAGGGCTAATGAAAATATCCTTGGAAAATTCCAAAATTTGAAGGGTGCCAATGTGCCATGTCAACTTCTCTTTTTTAGTCCTTAAGTCTTGTAAATGATGGAGCATGTGGAATTTAAATGACAACTAGTTACATATATGTTGGTTGCTGAAGTCTGATAAATATCACCTTCCATAGGGCTACTTGATGCAATGGACAATTGAATCAATGCACACTAATAATGACATATTCTCGCACAAATAGCTTAAGAAGCATTTGATTATTTACCGAATCCTTAATTATCTTTTAGTAACATCAAAATCGAAGGATTTCATTGACCAAAAACATTAGCAGTGGTAATTTAACATTGAAAATGGGTAAAGGGTAATTGTAGCAAGAAAACATCTACTTCTTTCTAATAATTTTGTTCTTCTAATCATCAATTTTTGGTGATGAGGGGACCAGGGAAAACAGGTTATTTTAATAAAATTAGCTTCGTTTCTTCTATGAAATACATGAACCACAATCATCAAAACCATAAGGAAATTCTAGATTTTTTTGTTCATTATTGTGGCGGTCTAGTTCAGCCTATTTATTATCGCTACCTTCACATAGGAACACCTATTATAGCAACGATTCAGTTTCATGAAAACCAATTCTCGATCAAAAAATATTAACTTATTAATTAAAATAACCTGTTTTCAATGCTAATTTAGTATTGAAAATGAGTAAAAAGTAATTGTAGTTGAGAAGGTTGACCAAGAACTCACAAAGGAAATGTTCCAAACTTTACTAGACATCCCAAAATGGAAATTGTTGCTTGCAACTTAATGAACTGGAGACAGTATAAAAGAAAGAATACTAGTCTGAATCATACATGCATGCAAAGAACACGTGTCATAATGAACGTTTGGAATTTGTATCATCTAGAGCTTCAGTTCTAAACAAAATTACCAAATTGTAGATGCGTCAGACTCCACTACTAATTTAAAAGGTTGAGATTAACAATTAAAATGTTTAATTGGTGAATATTAAAGCTGATATGAATTTCTTCTGTGACGGTGTTATATAATTTGTTTACATGTGAATTTTTTCTTCAGTTGGCTGTTTTTGACTTCAATACTAGAATACTTGTGAAGATATCATCATCATGTCTATACCTATCACTAGAAGTACACATTAAAATTTTGCGGACCCTTAAAGAGAAACAGTTGAGTGGTGGTACCAGTGGTCTTTGGTTTTTGTATTTGGATGTCTTTTGGGTTCCATTTTTATGATGTTGGGAGTTGTTCAGAATAGAGGGCTTTTTACATCTTTTTTACCTAGATTCTGATCAAGTGAATTCATTATTTAATCAATTGTACTCGTATAATCGCTGTGCATCTTGCCTCTTACTTTTACTGTTTTTATGTGTTTGTGGCTTTACATAAAGAAAGATGTTTAATGATAAAAAGGTTAAACATACTGATACCGACAAATATGTTGTTAATGTGCTGGGTTTAATTTTCATTCATTTGTATTCCTAACTATTTACTTTTTACCACTGTTGTATCACTTATGGAATGGCATCTTCACTCAAAAAGTTGGTTTGTCTTGGAACCATTCTATTCATTTAGATTTATCATATACAACAAGAAGTTTGAGCTAGTGTAGTGATCTGCTGTAATTGGGCTTATTGAAGATGCTTAATGATTAGCAATATCTATTTATAAATTGCCACCTGTCGTGGCTATCAACATCCAAACATATAAGATATCCTTCTGATAACATTAGATTTAGGCTGCATATTCTGGGTGAAAACATTTAAACCCTTGAGCAGCGTGAGTCTTACCACCTTCCTGTAGAAAAACTTTCCAATTTCAATGGAATTTTATAGTCTCGAACCCTCTTGATTCATGTCTTCATTCACCCTGCTTTTCTTCTGTGTCCTTTTGTTATACGATTGTACTTAGATAACCTCTCATGCTTACCCCACCCATTACGGGCTGTTCTAAAATCTTTAAACTGAGTAAAAGGCTCTTCGTTTACAGGTGCTTCTTGGTTATATTACAAGGATATAAGAAGTCCAAATCGGTGACAGTTTCTGGCTGCATATTGATATCTCATCCTGTATTTCATGGGGGCTGGGGAACAAGGCTCACCTGCCAAGCATTCCAAACCTACTTCAACTCAGGTTTCCTCACTCTTTCTTCTATGCGAGATATAAAGGCTTATGCATGTATCATACAAACTTATCTTACTTTTTTAACTACAGGAAACACCTCCACCCTCATATCCCGATTGGTCAAGCTCTATGCAGGTAAATGTTATAAGCAGTGATTATGAATTTGTTGTCACAAGATGCAATGAAATAGGTGTCCACAGCTGAAATAGATCCATATAATAGTTTATGACTTTCTTTTTCAGGCTTATTATGGCTCTGGAGCTGCTCCACCTTTCTTTGCCTCAACTGTTGCTTCTTCAACTCCTCATCCATATATGTGGGGAGGCCAGGTGATCATCTCTACTTGCATGCAAAATTTTGCTCCTTCTGTCCCAAATAAGGGCCTGTTTGTTAACAACTTAATGAGCTTAATCGGATTCGCAGCTTATTCGGTCAACTATACATGACTGTTTGGTAGTGGCTTACTGATATGGAAAGTGGTTTATTTGATAAGCTTCTAGAGGGGCTTTATGCAGAAAGCCAAGTTTTTCCAAACCTGCCCCTCCCAATTAAAAAATACTCTCCTTCCATCTATGAAAAAATTCTCTCAAACAAAAACCCTCCAATCTATACATCGAGACAGTCAGTTTTATCTATAAAGGACTTGATGGAAAACCAACCAAACAACCCCTTAAGTGTCTACATTTCTATTTTAGTTTGTCCCAAACTAAGTACCCATTTTCAAAAGCAAGTGCCTGATTTCCAATTTTACCCCTAATGGTGGGATGGAGAAATTCATTATCCACTCTATTATCAAGGGTAGAATTGTCATTTGGTTAATTAAGAAATGTAATAATTACATATTTCTAAAATTGTGTGCCTTTTTCATTGTGAACATTTATTTTGTGATGGTGGGGGTAAGTTCTATGAGATTCATATTGTATGCGATAGTTGACAAGATTTTTTGCTCTCTTATTGAAGTAGTAATCTTATTATGTAAATTATTTCAGCATCCTATGATGCCGCCATATGGGACACCGGTTCCATACCCTGCTCTATATCCTCCAGCAGGAGTTTATGGTCATCCTAGTATGCCTATGGTAAACACGATTTCCCTTCATCGTTTATTCTTTTAAGATGCATCTTGCTTCTTTTCGCATCATATAAAGACGGCATAATCCTATCAGCCCTTGGGTTCTTTGATATAGATCCAATCCTCTCTTTTATGATCATGCTTGCAGACCGCCAGCACCGCACAGCCAAACGCAGAAATGGAAGCCAAGGCCCCTAATGGAAAGGATAGGGTTCCAAACAAAAAGTCCAAGGGTACTTCAGGAAATGCCAATGCCAATGCCATTGGTGTGAGGACTGGAGAGAGTGGGAAGGCAGCATCAAGTTCAGGGAATGATGGTGCCACCCAAAGGTTTAAACCCTGAACTTTAGATTCTACTCTGCTTAGATTTACCAAACCAAACAAGCCCAATATATCCCACCGGAAGGTGGGTCTGGTCTAGGGTGATGAGATGTACGCAGACTTGACCTCCACCCCAAAAGGTAGAGCGGTCTCTGCTTAATTTGATTTGTCAAATTAGTGGTTTCTCTGATTATAGTGCATAAAGACTGTCACTTTATATCTTAGATTGTGGTGTGCTGATTGTAATTTTTCGACATAAACAGTGCTGAAAGTGGAAATGATGGTTCAACAGATGCGAGTGATGAGGATGACCAGCATGTATGTTTTTCAACATTAGTAGTCTGAGTTTTGGTTTTGGTTTTAGTTAGCATTTAGGGGCCATTTACCGAACGCTTACTAGGTAAGCGCTTGCCAGCAACAGTGACGACCCTTACTTTCTTTATCGGGTAACATTCTCGGCCATCAAAATGGATAGTTGGCAAGGGTCTCTTACTCGGTAAGGACTAACCAGGTAAGAGTCCTCTCCCTCACTTATTAAAAAGATCCTTTATCCCTGCTATGCCTCTTACCGGGTAAGAGTCTCGGTCCTTGCCATGCTCACCTGTTAAGATAATTGACACCCGATAAGCGCTTACCCGGTAAGCATTTGGTAAACGACCCCTTATGACTTCATAAAGAGTGTAGCAGAAATGTTTACGGATGCTTTATGTATTGACGCATTCAAATTGTTACCTCCAGGAACATTCTGGAGGCAAGAAGGGAAGCTTCCATCAGATGCTTGCAGATGGTGATTCCACACAGTTTTACCTTGTTTTCTCATTACTTCCAAGGATTTATTATAAATTTTAGATTTCATTTCTGCAGCGAATGCACGGAATAGCAATTCTGGATCTAATGTTCAGACATCGGTGCCTGGGAATCCTGTAGTTTCTATGCCTACTACCAATCTTAATATGGGGATGGACCTTTGGAACCCATCAGCTGGAACTGGATCTATGAAAATGCAACCAAATCATACCGGTCTCTCACAAACAGTAGTTCCACCACCAATGGTGGGACGGGAGAACATGATGGCTGATCAGTGGGTTCAGGTATCCAAGAAATAGTTATTTGCTGGTGATGGGATTCCATTTTTAGATATTCCATCAATTTGTTTTCCTATGTTTGAGTCCGGGTTTTATGAACAAACAGGACAAAACAAAATTCTGTTGTCCCACGTTTGGTGTGATATTAAATTGGGGCAAGATAGGACTGAGTGAGACAAAAAAACTACCCATGTCAAATTAGAACCTTCCACGATTCTTTCTGCTCACACGTCCGGTCCAATCTGTGTACCAAACGTACCCACAGACAGCTTATGTGGCAGGTTGCTTGAGTTACCAAAACACGACAAAAAAGGGATTTCATGCTTTTGTAGTTGGTGTCAGTTCCTTGCCTCGTGGCATAAGATTTCATCAATTTCCATTAATTGCACTCAGTTATTGATCAACTTTCACACATATCAACGAAAAGCCAAAAAGAGCGATTAACGTGTGCCACTTGTTGTCAGCAGGATGAACGAGAACTGAAGAGGCAGAAGAGGAAGCAATCTAATAGAGAGTCGGCTAGAAGATCACGACTGCGCAAGCAGGCAAGTACGCTTTATGTCTAACCTGGATCTTGTACTGCATTTATATGTGTATGTGTATATATATACGTATAGGGGTTGGGTTCCGGTGAGAGCTATGGTGAGAAGGTGAGAAAGAAAATCTTCATATACCTTCATCTACCTTCAACTACATTTATTTACCTATTTTTATCATGATGATCGGAACTCTAATGAAAATTCATGCTGAAAGTGATTAAATGGATGTGAAGATAAAGGTAGTTGAAGGAAAATGAAGTTAGATGAAAAAGTCAACTCATCCAAAGACTCAAAAGTGTTCTCACCATTCCAACGGTAACTCTTATTCTCACACAATCCCACGTCATATATATATATATAGAGAGAGAGAGAGAGAGAGAGATAGAGGAGCTTAATCATTTGAGAACCTAAAAAATTGTGGTAACTATTATCGTAAGGCATTATTTCACATAATTTTTTCCATCCAAGGATAGAATTTAATATATTAACATATATTTGTTTCACAATGCGTTTGTTTCATATGTAGTCGATTCACAACGTAAAACTTTTTAGTTGTATTTTTTGTTTCATAAACACAAAAAATGTCCACATTGTGAAACGAATACTGTGAAACAAATATATGTTATTACACTAAATCCAAGTGGAAAAAGATCATGTGAAATAGCACATGATGCACCAGTTTTCAAGGTTATCACAATTTATTGGGTTCCCAAATGAACTCCCCTATATATATATAGTGAAAATATATGAAATCCCATTAGATTACTCTCCAAAAGAGTACTTGAGATGGGAAAGACGGTTCCAACATATATATTGAGAGGAATGGTCCAAGTTAGCTGATGTGGGACTCAAAACACGCCTCCTCCAATGGAGGTAGATGATCACAGACTTCCAAGAGTGTGGAGTCCCTAGAGTGGCAGGTAGACTTTGGCTCCGATTTCATATGAGATTATGTGGAACCCCCATTTGGTTACTCTAAAAGCCTTTAAGAAGTGAAGGGAGGTTCCAATATATATCGAGAATAAATGGTTCAGTTTAGCTGATCTAGGACTCCCGACATGTACGAACTTAATCAAGGCAAAACAAATGATGCTCTTTCCTCTTATGGGGTCAAAGGTCAACTTTCTGAACGTCTTATTCTGTAACAATGGAAATAGTTAAAATGGAACACATTTGAATATTTGTAACTTGGCTGTGTATTATCTCGACAGGCCGAGTGTGAAGAGCTACAGGCGAGAGTAGAGGTACTAAGCAACGAGAATCACTCACTTAGGGACGAGCTGCAAAAGCTTTCCGAGGAATGCGGGAAGCTTACATCTGAAAATAATTCAATAAAGGTCTATGCCACTTCCTATCTCCATAACCTTGTGACAGATTTAAAAATGTTTTCCGCTTGATAGAAAAATGTTTTTCTCAATGCAAAAATGTCTCAAAATCTATCGGAGGGCCATGCACACACACATATATATATATATATATATATATATATATATATATATATATGTGTGTGTGTGTGTATATATATATATATATATATATAGGGGAGGGATATTTGAAAATCATGCCATTTGTACAAATTGTGAAAACTGTCGATTTCATTGTTTATTTTAGTGAAACTTTTTCATTAAATTGTTTCATATTAGCCATTTCAAATGATTATGGATATTATCATCTTCATTCTATTAATTCTAATAAACAAATTTCATCAAAATGAGAAATATATGAAACAGTTTAATTCTTACATAGAAACAAAAATATATGAAACATTTTCAACATGAAATGAATTATTTGAAACAATTTTATCATATTAAACAATTTCATGAATTTTTTTTCACTAAACAAACAATGAAATCGACAGTTTTCACGGATTGTACAAATAGTTTGGTTTGCATTTTATCCCTCCCCTATATATACTAGAAGGGTACTCGTGCAATTTAGCGAGATACATCTCGATTTTAATATTCCGTTTTATTATTTGTCTCGGTCGATGTTATAATACTGTTTTATGTGATTTTGAGAAAACGATAATGTTTTTATTTTTAAATAAAATATAAATCTAAAGATATCATAAAAATTTGAAAAAAAATATATTGATATCAGTATTAAATTAACTATTTAAAATTTTTGTGTAATTTTTGAATTCAATTTTTTTTATTATAATTTAATTTAGGTTTAATAACGAAGTAATTTATTTTTAGTTTAGTAATATGATATGCTATAAAGATAGTAATTATGTATTTTGTTAGAACTCAATGATTATCTTAATTATATTTTAGATATTTTATATTTAAAATGATATGTTTATCTTTATTTTATTATGTTTATCTACAGTTAGTTACACGAATTCAAACATGGAGCTGTAATAAGTTGTATTTACACATAATTTACTTGTAATCTTGAATTTTAAGTAATATGCATAAAAAATGGTTTTTAAGAGTTTTTGTCAAATGCTTTATAATATGGTGTATACATATATGTGTGTGTGTATAAATGTATGTATGTGTTGAAAAGATTCAAAGAAAACCTTGAAAAGGAAGAACCGGAGAACCAGATAAAAAAATATATTAAAATGGATATAAATTTAAATTAAAGTGATCCCTTTTTTTGTGTAATTTTGTTTCACTCCAATTTTTATGGTTTGCTGATTTTCAATTTAAAAATTAAGGAGAAATATTTGTATTGTTAAGAAATGTGGTTATAACCATCTTAATCACATTCATTGGATCATCTCAATTCAACGTTTTGGATGGGTCTTTTGGTTCTTTTTTGTCAGGGTTCTGTCCTGATCTCATTCTATTAAACTGTATATTTTAAAAGGTTATTCTCCTAAATAACCCTGACTATCAATGTAAGAATTAGTGTAATGTAGAATGGAACTTATCATTTGACGACGTGGAAACCACCACGTTATCAAATGATAAGCCTCAATGATGTATGTCATATTTCCGTGTTTATTTACATTACGGATTTTTCATAATCATATTCCGTATTTCATATCTGTAATTCTGAATCTCTTATGATTTATGCTGTTTGTACAGGATGAGTTAACTAGGTATTTTGGACCCGAGGTCGTGTCGAAACTCGACGCACATCTTCAATCTCAAACAGACGAAGGTAAAAGCTGACGACATAGTTGCTTATTATTATACTATTAGGTCAAAACCCATTTTCCGAGTCTTCAAAAGGAATCGACTTTAGGATTGATCGAGGAAACACAACATGTTACGACTCGCATCTTTTATGCTTTTTACACACCCATAACTTTTTTTTAACCACCATAACTGTAACTTGTCCACCAAAAACTTTCATATATAGAATATCTGGTCCTGATGTTTGTTGTTGTAGGAGTTAGAGAGTTTATTCAAATGACCCGAAATCAAGCGAGAATTACGCGTTCTCGTTCTCGTTCCCGTTCCCATTCTCGTTCGTATCACCAAATCATATTTTGTTATATAAATGTTGATCAAGTGGTTTTATATACTTCTTCATCATTCACTAACCTTTAGTTGTTTGTTGTAAGACAATATAAAATTGAGAGTGTGTTATGGTTTATTGATTGTAACAATTTTCGTCCCTACAGTTTGGCCTTCCTGGTTTGTAAAAACCCTTGCATTTAGTCTAGAGGTGATCATTTGAGCTCGGGTTGGGCTTAACTTGTTTTTTTTGTCCTACGAGCTTAGTATTGTAAACCCGAGCCTTTTTTTTGGGCTTGACAACTTGTCATTGTCTGCCCTATAAATGGGTTGGGCTTGTTCATAGGCTAACGGGTCTAAAAAGTGTAACCCTTATAAGTCTAAACTTGATCATTAGTAATTAATTAACGAATGTGGAACCAAAAAGTAAAGGGAAAATATCGTTGCAATAAATTTTAAGCAACTAAAGTGATACATTGATCTCAACAAGTGGAGAAAGAAATGAAAAACAAGATTCAGACTTCAATAAAATCAATAATACATTTATATTTTTTATGTATAACATTAATATTCAGGTGAATAAACAATCCCTTAGCCTTTTGGGTTCTTAAGAATAACTAAAGAGTCTTATCCTATAACTTTAATAATTTAATTTTAATTAATGGTAAAAAAATATTAATTATAAAATATAAACGGGTTGGACGGGCTTATCCATATATATATTTCCATTGTCTATATTCGTCCGTAATTTTAACGAATAAATCTAGACCCGTCCATTTTCTCAATAATAGTTGTCCAAGCTCGTATTCTAATGGGCTAGATGGGCTGGGTCGAATGAGTCTTCCCTTCCACTAATGGACATAAACTTCAATCCGTTAAGTGAGGGGCATTTCAGTCTTATCATTTTTCCCCGTTTGTCTTGTGATTTTATCTCTTTATCATTAATGATTCCAACTCCAACCACAAATCCAACCCCTCCCCCACTCTGGAAGCCACGACACTCTGAAAATAGTCCTTGTTCGCGTCTTTTTTGTATATGCATAGGTTTGCATGTGTGCCATGATTTCATCTTCTTATCAATATTTTGATAGGTTTGCCACAACAATGAGTCAGGCCAACCTAATTCTAACCCTCTTAATTAAACGGTTTAATAGGTTAATGGTTGATCAGCCTTAATTTAATGATTAGTGGGTTAGGTTAGACGAGTTCTAACAGTTTAACTTTTTTTAGTACACCCCTAACTACAATAACCAAATTGTAGTTTACTTGAAAAATAAGTAATAGATTTTTATAAAATATAAATGACTTAACGCTCTTATGCTTATTTAAAGTAAGTTATCACAGATATTTGGTATTAGATAACACTTTTTAATAACCTTCATTTATAAATTATTTATGGGATTTTATTTTATATTAGGAGAATAACACAATTTTGATAACTTATTTATGTTTATAGTTATCTATGAGTTTAATATCAACCGCAATGAAATTGGTTATCAAGTTGATTTGATAAAGAATCATTTACTTTAATACATCAGTCTAATCTCTAGTTGCCAGATTGATTCGATGGCCACCAATTTCTTGTACAGTGGCACAACTTCCGTTTAGCAACTACAAACTCACAAAAGATACTATTAGATGACATATTATTTTTTAAGAGGTGTTGAAGTTTGAAATTTTATTGTATTTTTAATTTATAAAAAGTGATGTTGAAATTTAAAATCTAAATCAATAAGATTGTTTGATATTAAATCATTATGTACTTTAAAACATG